AAGTGAATGTGAATTAGGTTAGACCGATTGCCAATGCAGAGTGATTAATGAAACGTGTCAAGTACAATTTAAAAAAAAATATATCATTTACCGAATTCATGATATGAATGTCTATTGTTAATAACAATTTGATCATGAGTTTCATTAGGTTCCGAGAAATTTGATCGTCTTTTAGTACTTCCAATCCCATTAGGAAATGAAAATTGATAACTTGGACGCTTGGCAAAAGTAGATCTTGATGAATTAAATCCTCTAGCAGTTTGTGGCATGATATTAACATAATGTTGACTGCTAGAACAAGGTATCTCTGAGAAGCTGACAGTTGTAGTTGGTGATATGAAAGACTGTTGGTAGTGTGTACTGTTCTGTGTAGCAGCAGCTGCTGCGGCGGCTGCGACAGCAGCGACAGATACCAAACTGGTAACTTGTTGAAGTTCATTATGCCAACGGTTAGATTGTTGAGATGTTGGCAATACATGAGGCCAGTGCTGATGTATCGGATGGGCATTCACAAAAATATTTCTTTGGCAAATGTTTTCGGAATTACGTGAATCTAACGATCTGATAAAATGATGATCAGCTATTTCAGACATATGAGAAAGATTTCTGGATGAATGCATTGGTAAGCCACCGGAAAGATTACCATTTCTAGGTGTACAATAACGGCGAGAGAGTCCTGTTGATCCAGACGAAGTTCGTCGTCTTTTAGGTGTAGGTTGAAGAACTAAATATTCGGGTTGCTAAAATAAAATGCACATCAATAATTACATAGAACAGCATAACTATAAGAAGCACGGATTACCTACATGGTATTATTATTTTTATGTATCATTCAAACACGTGAACATTGATGCAAAGGGCACCTAAAAATGTATGCGCTACACAAATTAATGAGTTTGAATGGGTTGGGATACTACCCAGATGCCCAAAACGAAGCAGGTGGTTTTCTTAGAGGGTCACAACCCGAGCATTTGATCCAAAAATCTGGTCCACAATGCAGTAGAGCAACGTGCGATGCAGTTTCATGGTGGCCGATGACCAACAATAGGTTCATACGCCATTCGTTCCGTTAGGATCCTGGAGCCCGTGTGCACCACTCGTTTAGAATCAAGGTTTTCCAACTTCCCTATGTGAATTCTCCGTTTCCACTGACCCGGGTTAAAGAGCCGGACACTCATTTTCGTCCCCTTAATTTCGTAAACAATACCTTTGCCATGAGAAGGCAGTGATTATAAACGCGTGGCCATATGAGAGCATTCAGAGAGGGAGAGCGGATTCTCCTCACTCTCAGTCGTACCAGGGGATTCGGGGGGACCTATGTGATATGGTAACACTAAAGAAAACAAGTTATACCTACTAAAACTAAGCTAGGGCAGAGCACATGACATTTATATGGATGTTCCATAGTAGTATTAGGAATCTCACTTCATGAACTAACACAACCAGCGGCGTTGACAATTTGGAAAACTCTACAAACACCAACCAAGAAAACCATACTACCCTGGATGGCTTGAACTAATATTTACTGACCACGGTGGATAGTATGTGAAAAAGACAATAACATGTAAACATTCGGAAGTCATTGAATCCTAACCACGAAACCAACCGGATAAGAATAATTCAAGCCTATAATCGTCAGAAATACTTATTATGATTATTACTTTTAGTATTGTAAGAAAGTATGAATCAGATTTTTTTTATTTTGACCCATTTGGTCTCGAGTGCTGTTACGGGTATAATGGCGGTTGTCACTCCCCGGCTGCCCACACTGTGGAAGGTTGTTTCTTGAGGAACTTGAAAAGGAAGATAGATTAGTGTTGGTTTTGGAGACCTGGGAGCGTGACCGCAGAGCCCAATAGACAACTGCTTCAGGCCGGTCACGCACGGGCTTTTTATGAAAGGTTTTTTGAGGATTAGCTCCGCTCTTAAAAGCCCTTAGAGGGCACCCTAACCGACGGAGACGGAAATACATGAGGTAGGGTGAGGTGTGACATTCTTAGGGTCGACCTTATCTAACCCTTCCTTCCTTGTGAGAATGCAGCATCGCTGCAGATGCTGGTTGTCCGAGGGGAACACCTTACTGCTGTCACACCTCTATTCAGTCAGCAGTACGACGTCGTCCTCAGACCTTGAGTAGCTGGTTTTAGTCTCATCGTTCTCCAAACGGCCTGCCTGGCATGGTAGAACATTTAGGAACATATGTTCCAGCCGATATAGCTCGGTTGGGTCATCACGATAGGCAAGCCCGACCACCACGTCAAGGTATGAATCAGATGGGTAAATGTGACACATGTCTACGATTCCGAAATCCTATATGGATGTAATGAGCAGTTGTTCATGTCAGAAGTGTTTACCTACATACCTGTTTGCACAACTTCCAAGGATAAATAATAATAATAATAATAATAATAATAATAATAATATTAAACTGCAGATTGAAGTCAAAAGCCATTAGTTTTTCATTTGACTTACTCTGAATTCCGATGGATGCCATGTTCCAGACACTGGTATTGGTATTCCATGATTGAGCACTGTAGAAATAATCAATAAATTAATCAATAGAAAACAACTAGAAAAGAATTACTTTATGAAGAATGAAAAAGGTTAAGTGATACTACTATGAATCAATATGATAAAAATATATCAGTACTGGAATTTCTTGTGAGATCTATTGTAGTGAACGAGAACACAGGTGGGGCAACCGAATTATTTTTAGCGAAAATTACAGAGTTACTCAGTAAAATTGGAAAACCATATCGTAAATCGTTCATTTGCAAAATATCAGTTCATCATATCGAACTGGACTGTTCCTGTTGCAAAACATCAATCCAATGTCACTATTCATGCGTTTCATACAAATTCCATTGTGTTGTAACTCTTCCTTTCTTGATCTTCCCCCATCTTCTGCTGCCAGACATTACGTTGACACTCACGTCATATACTACTTATAAGTAGCTCACACCACACTATTAGTAAGAAAAATAAACATCAGTCTTTGTAAACTTAATGATTGTTTAGAAACACATTTCACAACTCCAAGTAATTCCGTAGTTAATCATATGTTTGACTATGGACAGTTTAGTTTTGAATTTTTATTCTAATACAACCTAATTTTGATGTGGAAATTTGTAGGAGATTACACTCTCGTCTACATATAAAATTCATTTACAATTTTACTTGATCAGTTGATTGGTCAGTCAAATGCAACGTAGAACTTAGTATGTATGTATATTGATAAAAATCGCAGTCTCCCATTAGCACATAGAGATGAGGTTGTTTTGATATTCATGTCTTCAAGTTCAATAAGAAGTTCCCTTTACTTCTTATGTACACCTAAGACTTAGTCACTTAAAACATTAATTCCCGACGATTGGTTATTGATAAAACTATGATCTAAATACCTAGTTTTTTTATTTAGTCAGTCAGTCAGTTACAATGTAGAACTTCGTACGTACGTACATAAGTTCAGTTTGTCATACCATATTAGCACAGAGTTGTGCTATTAGCACTCGATAACCAGGAGAGCACAAGCCCTAGCACAAACATTCTTAAAATGTACTAGGAAGGTTCAAGCCATCAGTCCTAATGGCCTGTTGTCTGATGAAATCTCAGCACGCATACAGAAGGCTTTTGCCAACTTGCGTCACTTATGGTGTAGGCGAGATATTCGTCTGCTAACCAAAGGACGAGTGTGCTGTACAGCAGTTCGCTCCGTCCTACTTTATGGTTGTGAAACATGGCCAGAAGACAGTCATAGGTTGCTGGTTTTCGACTTTAGGTTTCTCCGAAACATTGCTCGTTTATCTTGCGACAACCGAGTAAGCAATGCTGTTGTGAGGAAATGGGCACTAGGCAAGGATGGCAGATCGATTGATGAAGTAGTGAAACTTCATCGGTTGAGGTGGTTGGGACATGTGTTGTGTATGCCCAACCACCGACTGCTTCGTCGAACTGTGGTTTCTGGTGTAGGAGTAGGTTGGAAGAGGGCTAGGGGCGGTTAAACTAAAACATGGTACAAATCCATGAAGTCATTAACAACTGGACTGAGTCATGTTGGTAAGTGTAGGCTACCTTGGTCGGGGTCCGCAAGATGATGATAATCGATGGTTAGAGAGTCTGAATGACATGGCTCAAAACCGTTTGCAATGGCTCATGTGCATACATTCTTTGTTTTTTCTCAAGTCCTAACCTTCTGAATTCGTTATCACCTTTATCTTTTTCTTTTTAAGTTTACTTCACTAGATTCTACTTCTTGAATAAATTCCCGGAACCCTAATCTCTCCGATTACTGCTAATATGCCTACTACTATGGGGTTCGAATTGACAATGGCGTATCCATGCTAATGTTATGTTATGGCAACTTGAACTGATGTACATACGTACGAAGTCCTACGTTGTAATTGACTGACTGGCTTTAGCTTTAGAAGAATTTATAATTATTTTCTTTTCTTTTAACAGAAATTAATAGCGATGTAGTCTGCTGAAACGACTTAATTTATTATGTCTTTTGGAGTCTTCTTGAAGGAGAGTATATTATTCAAGTTTACTCAGCCAACCTTGTAGTAATCTTTTCTTCGTCTTACGAATACTTGTATATATCTGGATATTCATTATCTTATCTAATGTTCACATCGTTGCTCATACTATTTACTATTGAACACTTTGAACGAGTAACATTTTGAGGTAGATGGGTTATGCCTTTCCCAATTCATACCATGTATTCATAATCTGAATTAACAGATACAGGAAACATATATAATCAAAACAACCTCTTATTTGACTGATTTCATTCAGCTATTCGCCAATGTAATTAAGCTAATGAAAATATATGAAGCTAGTTAAGGAACTACATAGCGTAGTTCTTCGTGGACATCAACTGGAGTCAACTATGGGCAGTAAAATTTGTAAGTTGGTAGACGGAGATGGAAAGAAAAGGGTTAGGAGCCGTAATTAATGTCTATTTGTATATGATGTCAAGCTTTAGTCACTCTGACTACTTACTTTTAACCTCATCATAAATAAAACGTTCAGGTTACGGAAACGGATTGAGTAATACTACTATTGATGTAACTAACCCATATGGAATCAAATGAGTGAAATGTGTTGTATCGTTAGTCCAGAGAAACTTCAATGTAACAATTGAAATGATACGTATCCTAACAACTAAGCCAAACAGTCAGGTTTTAATCGATTGGGCAATAGAGTGTTCTACAACCTAATTCTCTGCAATTACCAATGATATTTTATCATGTATAATATTTTGTATATATAAGTATGTTATTTTATTACATGAAAAACAATTCAGCTGACTAGTAGTCTTGATTTTGATTTTTTTTAATTATTTGAAGACCTGAGTCAATTAAACAATCTCGTGTATTACCACTTAGTCACACTAGATTGTTTAGGTTTACACTTTGTTAAACTAATTTATTTTAAGTGCTGAAGTAGTGGTTAGATTTACAAAACAATAACTCAAGCCTAATATACATGAAGGCCAGACTAGAGTGATTCAGGTTATGATCGATCTGTGGTTTCAGTGTACTAAATGATAACAATTAACAAAAAAAGGAATCTCAAAACATTATTGGTAGATAAAAAATTGCAGGGGTTGTGAAGATCGGTAAGTTACACATTTTTGAAACCATGAATCGATCAATGTTAGACCACCATTAGAAACCTGGAAGCACTGGACGGCCGTTTCATGGTCCTGGTATGGGACTCCTCAGCAGTGCGCATACACGACTCCTGCATCCCACAGGATTCGAACCCAGGACCTTCGGTATTGTGCGCGAACGCATAACCATCAGACCACTGAGCCGGTATCTAACGGTGTTAATGTCTAACTTGATCAAATTCACGGAGTTGTGCAACCTCATACACAGTCTTCGGTAGAAAATGCCTACACCCGAACAGGTTGAACTTCACTGGTCACGTCTTCCCACTAGAGGAACTTGGAGAAGATTCCTCATGAAGCTAGTCACTAGTGAGCACAGGTAATTTTCATTACAGGGGTTGTGAAGATTGGTAAGTTACACATTTTTGAAACCATGAATCGATCAAGTTTCTAATGGTGGTCTAACATTGATCGATTCATGGTTTCAAAGATAAAAAATTCATGTTGTCCAAAATGTGAGTAAAGAGAAACAAGTTCATGTGTTAAATTTATCACTGAGATATTATGACAATAGATTAAAATTTTACATCATCTTCAAAGTAAAGGATAGATTAATCTTACTTCTGTTAAAATTCATTGAATGAGATGTCAGATTGTTATATTGTAAAGGTTGATCTATGGGAGGACGATTAAATCTCCGACTGGTAGTTTGGTCTGTGAATGAGTTCGCTTGTTCTCCAATGTACACATTTTGTTCAGATGATGTGTGCATGATAATGGAGGTTTTTCACTATAAACAATAGAATAATAATAATAAAATACGCATTTACTAGTTATTAAGGTTTACAAAGAACATAACCGGAAACTTTATGGCAATTTTGAATTGAGAGGAGGCTGATGCCCCTTCTGACAATCAGAGCAACCATTCTCTAAGGTACATGGAATGTTTGAACATTGTGGGAGACAAGAAGACTATTTCAAGTGCTTGGGGAATCAGTGAAACGCATTGGACGCAGATTGGGTGGTTGAAAATAGCTCAAGGAGAGCTGCTGTTATATTCCCGCTATGAAGAAGAAAATCCCTCACACGCACAAGGAGTTGCACTGACGCTGTACAAACAAGCACAAAACGCACTGATAGGATGGGAATCGCATAGACCCAGGATCACTAAAGCATCCCTCACAACAAAGAAAGAGGGCATTACAATGAACATCATCTAATGCTATGCGCCTACCAACGACTACAACGAAGACGTTAAAAATCAATTCTACGAGAGGCAGTCAATCGTCGACAGAGCCAAGTCGAACATATTTGTATCACTAAAAAGTTCAGAAGGAGAATGGAGGACGTAAGAACCAAGAGAAGAGCCGACACAGCCACAAACATGGAGAATAATTTGAAAGGGATCAAGGAGGCAACCACTTCAACACGTCACGAGGTTCTGGGACACAAGAAGCACCATCACAAGGAATGGATCACTGTTGGTATCCTGGATAATATTCAAGAAAGGAGGACCAGTGAGGCAGCAATCAGCATCAGCCGAACAAGAGCAGAGAAAGTTAAGACACCAGCTGAATACACAGAAGCTAACAAGCAAGTGAAGAAGAGCATCAGAGAAGATAAACGGAAATATGTGGAAGATCTAGCAATGACGGCGAAAAGGCTTCAAGAGAAGGAAACTTGGGACAACTTTACGGTACAACAAAGAAGCTCGCTGGAAACTATCGTAAACCAGAACGACCGGTAAAAAGCAAGGAAGGTAAAGCAAACAGCAACACTGAAGAATAGCGAAACAGGTGGGTAGAGCACTTCAAGGAACTCTTGAATCGACAAGCTCCACTGGACATCAAAGCAGCATTCATAGACCTCCCAATCGAGTTTGGCCCACAAACAATTAAAGAGATTAGCGTGGTCATCGGACAAATCAAGAGTGGCAGAGCAGAAGGACCAGACAACATTCCAGCAGAGGCAATGCAAACAGACGTGGAAGCAACTGCAAAAATATCCCATATTCTCTTCAAAAAGATTTGGGATGAAGAACAAGTACTAACGGACTGGAAAGAAGGGTACCCGATCAAAATAACGAAGAAAGGGAATCTCGGAAAATGTGAGAACTACACTGACATCACTCTACTTTCAATACCAGGCAGTCTTCAACAGGGTGTTGTTAAACAGAACGAAGGGATTCATTCGATACAGTCAGTCAGTCAGTCAGTTGCAACGTAGAACTTCGTACGTAAGTACATCAGTTCATGTCGCCATACCACATCAGCACAGAGATATAATTGTCAATTCAAATCCAATAGTAGAAGAGGTAGTAAAGGTATTAGAAGTAATCGGAGAGGTTAGAATTAGAAGATATTATTCACGAAGTATGATTCAATGAGATAAGTTTAGAAAGTAAAAACTAGAGGTGTTGAAGAACCCAGAAGATTAGGATTTGAGAGAACACAAAGAATAAATGCACCGGCGCCATTGCGAACGATTTTCAGCCATGTCATTCAAGGTCTCTAACCATTGATTATTATCATCTCGCGGACCCCAACCAGGTAGTCGACAATTACCGACATGGCTAAGTCCACTCGTCAATGACTTCATGGATTTATGCCATGTTTTGGTTTGACCGCACCTAGCTCTCTGCCAACCTATTCCTACACTACAAAACAAAGCTCGACGAGGCAGTCGGTGGTTAGGCATACGCAACACGTGTCCCAACCACCTCAACTGATGAAGTTTCACCACTTCATCTATTGATCTGCCATTCTTACCTAGAACCCGTTTCCTAATAACAGCGTTGCTCACTCGGGTGTCCCACGATATACGAGCAATGCTTCGAAGACACCGACGATCGAAAACCAATAACCGACGAGTATCTTCTACTCTCATTGGCCATGTTTCACAGCCATAAAGTAAGACCGAGCGAACCACTGCGCAGTACACTCGTCCTTTAGTCAGCAAACGGATATCTCGCCTACGCCATAAGTGACGCAGGTTGGCAAAAGCCAATCGAGCCTTCTGTATCCGTGCCGAGATTTCGTCAGTTACCAGGCCATCGGCACTGATCAGACTCCCAAGATAAGTGAAGCGGTCTACACGTTCGACCACTTCACTCCCTATCACTAGTTCAGGTGCCGATGAAACCCAATCTTGAAGCAACATTTTGCATTTCGAGGGGGAAAACCGCATTCCGAACATGCTTGCATTGTTGCTTAGGGTAGTCAGAAGACTCTGCATTTTGTCAGCGTCTTCACCAAGTAGGACTATGTCATCGGCATATTCTAAGTCAATAAGCGAGCCACCTGGTAAAAGGTCTACTCCTGAAAATTCGGACGAGGATAAGGTAAGTTCTAGGAGCATGTCTATGATAAAATTGAACAAGAATGGAGAAAGTGGACATCCCTGACGGACACCACTTGATGTAGAGAATTCCGGTGACAGTTCGCCATAAACTCTCACTCGACCAGTGGTGTTTGAGAAGAGAGCTTGTATGAGGTTAATGTACTTCTTTGGTACACCTTTCAATGACAGACACTGCCACAGAACCTCACGATCCACTGAGTCAAATGCCGCCTTAAGGTCCAGGAAAACAACTATTGTAGGACGCCTAAATGTGTGTCTGTGTTCCAGGACCTGTCGTAGTGTGAAAATGTGGTCTATACAGCCACGTCCAGGTCGAAAACCAGATTGGTTTTCTCGAGTTTGCTCTTCACGAGCTTTCGTTAAGCGTCGAAGTATTATTGAGGCCAATATTTTAGATACTATATTAGTTAGACTTATTCCTCTGTGATTGTCACAAGAAGACTTCTGTCCTTTCTTATAGATTGGGACAATCAGTGATTGAGACCAGTCGGATGGGATTGCGTCCAGTTCCCAGATTCTACCTACGATCTCAGTCAACCTAGCTGATAAAACTGAACCACCATCCTTAAATATCTCAGGGGTCAGTCTATCAGGACCTGCAGCTCGTCCTCGCTTCAGATTTCCTAACGCTTTCTCAACGTCATTAAGACTAGGGGGACTTAGGTCGATTTGCCATTCAGGATGACTGGGGATCGTAGGTAACCGAAGTGTGGCTGAAGACCAGTTGAACTGATCCCTAAAGTGTTCTGCCCATCGATCCAGTCTCCTGGATTGAGAATAAATAATAGTCCCGTCATTTTCTGAGATGGTCTCACTTACACTATGATTCCTAATACCAGTTTCCTTGATAAGTCGGAAAAGTTGTCTACTGTTGACGATCGCCGCTGCGTATTCCATCGCTTTTGCTTTAGCCACCCACCACTGTTCGCGGTCGTTACGTAGGCTTTTCATAAGTATGCGCCTAAGTTGACTTCGTTCTTCATCATGTTCAGAGCCAGGTGGGATGAGTTTTCGGGCATCCATCAGTTCGGTGGATGCGACTGATATCCACGGCTTCATCCTAGCCTTATGGTTTACCTTACTAGCAGATATCACTGCTGTTTCCACAGCCTTTTTGATATCATTCCATCCTGCTTCCGGATGGGAATCGCTTAAATGGTCGCCTAACTGTCTTTCTAGTTGTTCCTGAAATATATTTTTCACCTTATTATCATTAAGCAAAACTCTAAGAGGCTTTCTTACGGTGTCTTTCCTACGTCCAGTAAGCTTCAAACAAATACGCGCTCGCACTAGGGCATGATCTGAATCTAGGCATGTGCCCCAGAACGAGCGACAGTCCTCTATCGAACCCCTCCATCGGTGGCTGATGGCGATGTGATCTAGTTGAGTCCAACGTTGAGACGACTTTGGAGGTCGCCAGGTCAACAGGTGCTTTTCCTTATGCCTAAAGTTAGTGTTTGCTAAGAATAGGCGGTTGTCTGAGCATATATGCAACAGACGGTCACCATTGTCTGTTCTCTGAGCCGCGACACCATAACATCCACCTAGGTGTCTCTCCTGCTCACTTAGTCTACCTACTTGAGCATTAAAGTCACCAGCCATTATTACTATATCAGAGCGCCTAGCTTTTTGGAGGAGGTCCGATTAGCCGATACAATACAACATGTGCCGACCTAATAACTCCTGATGGGGATTCTTTGGAGGACGTAAAAACCTTTACATATCTGGGCAGCATCATTGACAATCAAAGGGGATCCGATGCAGATGTAAAGGTGCGAATCGGCAAAGCAGGGGCTGCATTTCTAAAATTGAAGAACACCTGTGACTCTAAACAACTATCACCCAACACCAAAATCAGTATTTTTGATAAAAACGTCAAAACGGCTCTACTGTACGGAGAGGGAACTTGGAGAACTACGAAAGCCATCATCCAGAGGATACAGGTTTTTATTAACAGTTGTCTACACAAAATACTTCGGATCCGTTGGCCAGACACTATCAGCAACAATCTACTGTCTGACGGAACGAAACAAACTCCAGCAGAGGAGGAAATCAGGAACGAGCGGCGGAAGTGGACAGGACACACTGCGGAACGCACACAACTGCATCACATGACAGGCCCTAACTTGGAACCCTAAAGGTCACAGGAAAAGATGAAGAGCAAGAAACACATTACGCCGAGAAGTAGGGAAAGACATGAGAAGGATGAACAAATATTGGACAGAACTGGAAAGGGAAGCTCATGACAGAGCAGGTCACAAAATATTGGTCGGCGGCCTATGCTCCATTGGGGGTAGCAGGAATAAGTAAGTAACCCTTTTGTTAAAAGCTACTGAGATCCACCATTTTATTCTAACCTTATGGTCTATTTTATTGGAAGATATCACTACTCTTTCCACAGCTTTTTGATGT